GAGAGGAAGCTGGAAAATTAATTAACAAGGTCAGGTATCTAYAACTAYAAGCAGTCTGAGACCTGAGCAGTTYCCCAGAAAATTCTACCAAAAAGACAGATTCAGTAAAGTCTCCAGCAGCAGCACAAGTGGGAATGGMTTTCTGCAATCAAATCTCACACCAAATTTCATTACAGTGCAACCCTAACCTCTCAGGTACTGCAAAGCTAAGCATCAGCACTGAACTCAGCAGSTGTCAACCAGCTAGAAAGAATTTTATTTTTGTGTTGTTTGATGAAAGAACTCCATTAACACTGTTTAAATTTATGCATTTGCTAGKCYTTSTCAAAYAAAAAGCAAAGAAAAACTGTCAGTGGAGAATAAATCTGTRTTTTGGCACACATACTTCTGCTGATGTTTTGCAGGTAAGATGAAGCAGGACATCCTGCTGAGGAAGCTGTTATGGAGCAGTACAAGAGTCATCACAGTTTCCCAAACAGGCTAAATATGATACTCAGAATATAAACCATGAAAATGGGGTTAGATACACCATCTCATAGACAGCATGGAAAACTGATCTTACTTCCTCGGGATGCTCATCCAACTCTAAGGTCTCATCTTCAGTGTTTTCTTCTGCTCCAGGTAAAGAAGACCCTTTGCTTTTCTTGGATTCTGGTTCATCAGGATCTTGTACCTGCTCACAGGAGAAAAAAAGAAAAACTAAACAAAAGGAGTACCTTAAACCTCAAGAGCTATAGTGTTGTGGTTTCTGTCTCACACTTCATTTTCCTGGAAGTACAATTGGTTAGCATACACTGGAATGTCCTACAGCACTCCTGTAGGCACCCAAGCATTCCATGTTCTCCCATGATTATCAACCACCCACAAGAGTCTTCTCCAGCTGTAAGTCAGAAGGCAGGAAGACCTGACACACTGTGGAAATCTTGTTCCAGAAGTGCTCACAGCTTCACTTGAAAGCTCAAAACACAGGAAACAGCAAAGTTCATCTCACAAGCCCCTTCTGGACCCCTCAGACAGCAAAGCCATTGCTCTGGCTGTTTCCCAGATCATCCATSACATTTGAACATGTTCCAGTTCCACCTCAGTTCAAAGACAAGCAGTGGGCAGGGGGGTCTGAGGTGTTACAGAGGGAATGCCTTACCTCCTGGATGTAGGTGAGATCCCACACCCTCAGCTCACTGTCAGCACTCCCAGTGATCAGACGCTTCTCTTTGGAGAGCAAAGCCATCCCCCAGACCTGTACAGAGGTACAATGTGAGGAATTGACTCCTCTGACTATCATAACAAAAACATCTTTAATTGCATCTGCATCTTTAATTGACTTCTTTAAACAGCAGCCAAATAGTGACTGGATCTAGCTGAGACCTCCTCTGGGGACACGTGTATGGGATGCAKCTGATAACAGCTCCAGGAATGTTTGGAAATTTCTCATTTGCTCACTCTTAGAGCCTAATGAAAGTGAAATATATGTTGGTGCCAGTTTACAACTCCTGAGAGCAAGGAATGCCCAACATGGGCCACGACATCCTGAGACCCTCCAGCCCAATGGCTCCCCACACATCCCCTTTACCTCAGCTCGGTGTCCAACCAGAGTTTTGAAGCAGTGCTGGGTGTCCAGATCCCACCATTTCACCAGTGTGTCTTTGGCACTGCAACAAAGAGGAAAAATTCAGACATGAGGAAAGACTCCAGACCTCACCCCTCAGAGAAGTGGTAGAAATACAAAAAAAAAAAATTAAAATAAGTCAGAACATGTCACAGAGCAGCTGAAACCAAACAAAAACCAAGTACAGGAATGCTGCAAAAGGATACCTATCAAGTCACTGAAGCTGACCTGCAAATATTTGAAATTGCATTAAGAAATGGTATCATTTTYCAAAGCAACAAAATACTACTTTTTCCATCTGCAAATAAAAAAGCAAAAGTAACTTGTTTTAATTTTGAACTGAACTCATTGCATGCACTTTTCAGTAAAAAAATACTGACTGATATTTCAGCAGGAGTATCTTTTGTCAGCCATTTATTACTCAAGGGATTCAGTCAACTCACAGCTCATGCTGAATAACTAAAAATCAACTAAAAAAACCCTATCATCTTTTAACTAATTCCTATATTTACAACTTACAAGGAASCAAYCTGTCACATATACAGAAAGTAGGTMTGCTTAACTCTTCAAGATAAACAAAAACACTCCCCAAAATATTTACATAAACAATGAACATATTTTGTGTTACAACAGTTTTAAGTTGATGGATTTACCAACAAGTTCAACCCTTCTCCAAACACTTTTTCAGTATGGCCATTTCAGCTGCTCTAAGACTTTGATTCAGGCACCAGACTTAAAAAATACATCAATGTGACACAATCATATTCAAAGATGCTGGTGGGTCTGAGATATCACGAGACAAGAAGGAAAATACAAATGGCTGTAGCACACAGGATTCTAAATTGCAAGAACAACCATGTCTGCTTTTCTGATCAATAATTACTCTTAGTCTGGCTCACCAGGTGACCAACAGGTTCTTCTCCTTCAAGAAAAGGACTTGAGTGATGACATCTTTATGTCCCCTCAGCCGGTAGAGGCCACTTTCATTGATGACATCCCACACGATGACTTCTGTATCCTGAAAAAAGAGAGAGAGTCTATAAGGGACTGGCACTTGTCTCTGCAAAACTTCTGCCATGGGACTGAAAAGATTATCTGAGAGCACACTTTCTCCCTCTGAATCTCAAGGATGATTAATGCAACTGACATTTCTTCCCCAAAGGGRCAGTCAGACTGATAAATGTAGTGCTGTTCCACCCTGAGACACTTTTGCTGTTCCTGATCTCACAAGATTCTTCACTTTAACAGCTCTACCAGTGTCCTATTCCTGTSTGGAGCCCCTGCTGCTCTCCCAGCTTCTGTCACTGTCACCCTTTGGCTGTGGGCACACACCACACTTGAAATACTGAACATTTTAGTGCAGCTCAGCCTTGCCCATGGGGTATCTCTGTGAAAGGACCATCCTCTAGATGTGAAACCCTCCCTTACCTTGGAGCCAGACACCAGCCTGCCACCCAGGTGGTCATACTGCAGGGCTGTAACTGCAGCCCTGTGCCCATTGAAAGTGACAGTCGATTCTCCACTGAGAAGGTTGAAGACACGGACTGCTCCATCTTCGTACCCAACAGCCAAGTGCAAACCATCTGGAGAGGGGCASAGGCAACTGACTTCYTGCTTGAGACCCTTMAGGATAAGAACCTGAAATGTTTAGGAGACAAAACATGTGTAATGTTGACAAATGACATCTCAGAGACAGACACTTATAGAAAGAATATAGTCTACTCCTCTCCTGAACTCCCAACTGAGCACTTCTGCCACTTTATAAGTTAATTTTTTACCCTCCTGCACCAAATGTGGTGTCATTAGCCCCATTTTCCAAAGCAAACAGGAGCAAGAAGGAAGCAATTTCTCACAACCAAACAGGAAGCAGAATAAGCCCTGCAACTCAGAACCTGACAGTTCTGCCCCAACACATTTTAAATGCCATGGAGTAAGAACACTGTTTGAGTGCCAAGTCGGAAAGTTTCTTCCTGACTCCATCCTCTCTTGCCTGGCCTTTCCTGGGTATAGGTCAGAGCTGCTTTTCCACCGACTGCACAAGAACTTGAGAATGATATAAACATCAAAACAACGTAACAGCAGTCAGCACTCCAGGGGCTATGAAACAAAATCAGATTTCAGTTCAAAGTGGACACACAAAGCACTTACAGTAATTTCTGAATCTCACAGGAGACAGTGTGTGGCAAAGTCCTAAAAGTTACAGCTCACAACCTCCCTATGTACACAACTTTCACATGGGATTCCCAGCCAAAACACAAACTCTATGACATCCCTGATTCATCCAAGAACATTCCCATCGCCAGCTAAACAGGGACCAGTTTTCCAGTTACTGTGACAGCAATTAGTCTTCCACAACTGAGGTCCTGAGGCAAATCTCAAGGGATCCACAGTGAAATTCAGTTGTTTTAAAACCAAATCGAGATAAAATAAATTACTCTCACARTAAGAGCAGAGCAGCAGGACCACCACTCCCTCCCTGTGACAACTGATGGCTACAAGTTACKACCAAAGAAAACAAAGGTGAGAGTTGCTGCATTCCAGATTTCCCTTATCCAAATCACCTGTAACCACCTCTATTCAGGTGGTGCTGCCTGTTAGATTGCAACAAATTCAAACCTTGTAAATCCCTTAAACTGAAATAAGCAATTACTTTCTTGCAATATGCAAGACCTTCTTCTGAGCATCCAACACCGCAATGTATTTCGGACTATTCAAAAGGTTACACCATGCAGAACTCTTTTTATTGGGCAGCTTGGGGAACTGGAAGATGGGCCCAGGACGCAGCCAGAGCTGCAGACTCGCACCATAACCAAACAGAATGATGGGCCAGGACACAGCCAGAGCTGCAGACTCGCACCATAACCAAACAGAATGATGGGCCAGGACACAGCCAGAGCTGCAGACTCGCCCCATAACCAAACTCCACGCTGTGCTCACACTTCCCAAAAGTGGGGAGAGGCTGTGGAGGTGTTGCTTACCCCCAAACGCCTCCCAGCAGTACCAACAGCTTCAGGCGGCCCCAAAGCCCCTCACGCCGCACCCCAGCCCTGCATTTCGGCACCCACCTTCTCTCCTTTCCTTGTGTCCCACACGAACACGTGCTCGCAAGCCGGCACGGCCACATAGCGGCCCCGCTCGCCGCGCAGAGCCACGAAAGCCACGGCGGCCCTGGCGCTGGCCACCAGGCCGAAGAGCGCGGCGGGCTCGTAGCGCAGGTACTGCCGCGTCAGCCCCATGGCGGCGSCGGGRAGGAGGGAAGGAAAGAARGAAGGAATGAAAGAAGGAAGGAATGAAAGAAGGCTCGGGGAGCCCCGGCCGCCACACGTGCAGCCCCGGCCCCGCCGCGCTGGAAGTGCGTCAGAGCGGGCCCGGCTGTGAGGGCGGCCCTCAGGCTGCTCCCGCCCAGGGAAGCGGAAGCGCGGCGGACGCGGAGCTTTCCCTGGGTGATGTCGCCAGACCGGCGCCGACCGGGAGCCTCTGTCCGGGCGGGGCTGGCGGCGGCTCTGCGGCTGTGCCCGTGAGTGCGATGCGATGCGATGCGGTGCTGTGCTGTGCTGTGCTGTGCCGGGGGTCAGCCCGGTCTGTGCTGGGCGGGGGACGCTGGATGGCGGGCGGAGCGCGGTGCCGGGCTCGGGGTGCGAGCCGTGAGGCGGGAGAGGCGGGAGAGGCGGCTTCTCCTCCCGGTACGGGCACGGCGATGGGGCCTCGGTGCCCCTCGCAGAGTTCCGTGCCCGGTTCCCCGTTCCGAGCCTGGCAGCCCTGGGGCCG